CGACTATATGTAGCACGTGCAGACCGTGCTTTAACGTCTAGCGTGAGAAGTTGGGAATGAGTTAGAGCGCTTTGCATCTCTAACAATGTCGTTGAAAAATAGTGGTGACAGTGTTCCTTTGTTCTCCTTCGATCTCTTAAGGGCACGTTTTCACTCGTTGTAACGCACCCGTAGTTGTATTGTCAAAGTAAGCACTCGCATAGGAAGCTTGAGTTAAAGATTAATTTGGACTAGGGCTGGCCTTGAAAACTGCTGCAGCGCTGATTAATTTTGCAAGGAATGGGATTTACGTAGCGATCACACTCTTTTTTATAAGCTATCGCTGTGGAAGGAGGGGAAGGGGTGTTCGATATCTGAAAATCAAATAATGTGAGCCTTGTTGGAAGAGAACGTTTTTTATATTGTTCATTTCAGGAACTCGACAAGCACTCAGCTCGTGCAGTAGTGCGCGTTTGTGAGCCAACATACGCCACTAAGCCCTTACGAGATCATGGGATCGATGTGTTGGACTGGGAGTTTTCGGACGGCTCGCCACCACCTCCTGAGGTGAGTGCCCCTTTTTGGTTTCCTTGTCTCAAAAGCTTTGAAACAGTCTTCATGACATCTACTTTCCCATGTGCGTTTTTGCTGTTTACAAACTATGCGCTAATGCTTGACTTTCCGCCTTTCATCATTCCCAACTGCTGCTCTCTTTTTAAAACGTTTGAGCCGATTACACTGGAAACTGCGTTAGCAGAGTCGGTTTGTTTACGTTTCTGGGAAAAATCTGAGGCTGCGGGGAAGAACAATACGTACACTTCATTTTGGTATTGTTTTCTCGAATGTTGAGCCTCATGCTGTTATTTGAGTGAACTTAGCTAACTCTCGGAAGGAGCTTTGAGCAGTAACGGGCAGTGACCCGTGTTTTTCATATCTTCAAGTTAACAGTTTCTAGGAAGGTAATGGTTTCCGGCCATTTACGTAAATTTTCTTCGCTTTACTATTTTAACAAGGAGAACTGAGACTTATGTGAAAGCCCTGTACATTTTTCAATGTAACCATATTCTTTTAGGTGATTCGAGACTGGCTACAATTGGTGCGTGCGTCTTTCCGCGACCACCCGGAGCATTGTATTGCGGTACACTGCGTTGCAGGACTAGGTCGTGCACCGGTTCTAGTCGCACTTGCACTTATTGAGGCCGGCATGAAGTATGAGGATGCTGTTGAACTTATTCGCAGGTTTGTTCCAGTGCGATTGTTCCGTTTTGGTGTCATATTTATTGATAGAAAATCCTCGCAGTAGCAGTTAGATGGTAGTACTAAATCCCACTATCTGTTCAAGAAGGTTTGATGTTGCATTTTTCGGAAATGTGCCGTTCAATTTCCCTCAGCATTTTTCATTCTGGTTCAACTTATCTCGCATGTCCCGCAGCTTCTTTTGACAAGATCCGCTTCACATCCGACGCAACAGCCTGTCTCCATCCGGTTGGACAGCTGTGATCCACCGTGTGTTTCAATTATGTGACCTTGCCCGCTCGAGATTTTTGGGAAGCGTGATCTTGCGGTTGATTCTTTTTCTTTTTCGGCTTTCATTCAACTATCTGCTCACTAGGGAAGGATGACGGGTCGAAGTGGCCATATGAAATGAGACAAGTATCATGGTATGTGTTTCGGACGCTGATCTCGAATCTTCTTCCCAAATCTGCCAAACGATTCGCTGAACGGAGTTACGGAGGTTTTTGTTCCCTCACACAGTTTAACACAGTGAGGAATCGGCCTGAGCAGCAGGGCTCCATGGAATAGCTCACCGGCGGCGCGGATGCGAGCGCGTGCAGGTGACGTCAATTTGACGTCACAGCAGCGGGGAGGGATTGAGCAAGACAGGCGCCATTACTTTATAACATTACGTATTAGACACTATCGACTCTGACTTCACTGTGCAGTGAGTAGAAGTAATAACGAAGAATGAACTTAATGTAATCAACTTCGACTTAATTGCGCACTCGTTGGGTTTTAAATGCGAAA